TCCCTGGGAATTGTGTGTAATAATAAAACAATGACAATGTAGAAACACAACTGATTATATCCAAACATTAGTTACAAGGCACCGGCGCCTGTATTTGCTGGTAAGAGTGTATCTGCCTTTTTCAAAGAGTGGAATTTTAGCATGTTTGTAATAACCAAGCCCAGTTCAGAGCAAAATTGTACTATCTGCTTTAGTGGTGATATTCATATAGTTTATTAGTAATAATAATACAAAGTTTAATTGTTCCTACTGTAGCTCATGAGCACAGGACTCTACAACATAGATTTCAAATTATTTTAAATTAGTATATAATAAAGGTTATAAATGTTTTTTGTTAAAAAATAAATTCTTTTTTTAGACTTTGTTTATATAAACACACTTGTTCTAATATGTTTGGGGGATTTGCTAAAAATATATATATTAAGGAGATTATGGAGTCTATTCACTAAGCTGCTGAATGATCTAGCCGTAGCTTCGGCTGATCCTTCGGCCCCAGGACCCCTTCCGTTCAGTAGAACTGAAGGGCTGCTGTATGGGCTATTAACAGCTCCCAAAGTTGGCCGAGTGGCTCAGTCGAGCCGAAGGCATATGCCTCGGCTCGACTGAGCTGTGGTGAAAGCCGAAACTGGCCAAATGGCCGGCCATTGGCCGGCCGACAGCCTGCTTCTGACAGCTGGGCAGAGCCAGCCGTCATCTCACGGCTTGCTCCGGCCACTTTCAGAGAGATCAACGTCCCTGGTTACCAACTAACCAGGGATGCTGTCATTACACACTGAGAGCGGCCTCTATGTGTTCTCAGTGTGTAATGACAGATGGCGTTCCTGGTTACCCGGTAACCAGGAATGCCATCTGTCATTACTCTCCCGGCCGCCCGGGAGAGAAACACTTTCTCCCAGAAAGGTTCACTCTGCTCGAGTAAACCTTTCCCTGCTCAGTTTTTTTTCTTCTGACATCGGAGCCGTGTGCTGCCGTCAAAATAAAGAAAAAAAAATCAGCATAGGAATGCATAGCTAGATTCCTATAGGCTTATTTCAATTTGCAATAGCCAATAGCAAACTGGCTATTGCAAATTGAAATAAGCCTATAGGAATCTAGCTATGCATTCCTATTGGCTATTGCAAATTGAAATAAGCCTATAGGAATCTAGCTATGCATTCCTATGGTGATTATTTTTTTTATTTTTTAATTATTCTGTGTGCAGTGACAACTTTTAGAGTGGCAGTCAATACAACAAACCCCAAAATAGACAATCTCAATGAAATGCCATTTTGGGAAGCAACTAGCCATCATCATTTAGAGCAGTGACCTTAAGCCCTTTCAAGGCCAAGAACCCAAAATCGCCCAAACTCAACCAGAAAATATGCAAAAAGAAGGATTAACTCGTTAAAAGATAACGGGTTAGTGGTGGTCAATTTAAGGATCCGGACAAGCCAGTTGATTATATGAAAAATAATTTTATTGAAAAAGACATATAAGACAGCACATGTAACTTACTTGCTACCATTAAAACTTTGTAAAATACAGGCAATCATAAATTGTATGTGGATCGATCCTCATTTGCACTTGACATTGATTTCACCGTGGGGGGTAATGACCGATATGGGTGTTATATCGGTCTTTATCCCTTTGTGAGGTGACCCATGCGTGTACCAACTTGCATAAGCTGCATGGACTGGGGGGGTATCCCAGGGATAGGGAAATCAGGGACAATTTTGCCTATGATTTCAGTGTGTGAGTAGAAGGGAGGGATCTGAACAGATCAATGATAGTGACCCTGGTTTCCTCCGCTTGTTGTGGAATTATATCATATGATCAGATAATGATACTTGTTGGTTAGGTAATTCCTGTGTAACAATCTTCTTAATTTGGAGGGTTATGTTTTCACCAGAAAATATGTCAGAACATATATGCTGTGATCTCATAGTTAAAAGGAAATGGTCAGAAATGAGTTATAGAGGTCCTTCATATACTCTCAAATACAGAATAGTACAGGTGAAACTCGAATAATTAGAATATCATGCAAAAGTAATTGCAGTAAGTGCTGCAAAAGGGGCCCAAACCAAGTACTGAGTACATATGCATGTTTGTACTTTTCAGAGGTCCGATATTGTTCTATGTACAATCCTTGTTTTATTGATTGCATGTAATAATCTACTTTTTTGAGGTTGTGGTTCTGGGGTTCTCGGGGTTTTCATGAGCTGTAAGCCATAATCATCACAATTATGACAAATCATGGCTTGAATTATCTTGCTTTGCATGTAATGAGTCTATCTCATATATTAGTTTCACCTTTTAAGTTGCATTAGTGAAATAAATGAACTTTGCACGATATTCTAATTATTCGAGTTTCACCTGTATATGTAGAAAATATATAATTCTGCCTAGAGTCCCTTTAATGGGAATGTTTTTGCTTTTCCTCATCCAGAACAGAAACCATTTTGTGTGGCCACTGGTACAATAAGGGATGTGTTGCAAGCAGGTTGGA